AGAGGCAAGCAGCCCAGCGGGGGCTGCCAGCCCAAGGGGCAGAGCAGAAGCCATGCCTCCTGCGGATGGCGGAAGCTGCCGAAAGAGGCTGAAGGGTCTCCCAGTAGGCCAAAAGTCTCCTTTGGAACGTGGTGCATGCTCTGGAACCCGTCCCAGACATTGCAGCTGGGGCACGTTAGAGATGAAAAGCAGCAGGAGACAAAAGAAGAGGAAGAAAACAACCTCCAGATGCCATGAGACAGAGCAGAAGCCATGCCTCCTGCGGATGGCGGAAGCTGCCGAAAGAGGCTGAAGGGTCTCCCAGTAGGCCAAAAGTCTCCTTTGGAACGTGGTGCATGCTCTGGAACCCGTCCCAGACATTGCAGCTGGGGCACGTTAGAGATGAAAAGCAGCAGGAGACAAAAGAAGAGGAAGAAAACAACCTCCAGATGCCATGAGAGATCAGATCCAGACCTGACGGCCATCACTGGCCTCTTCCAAGAGTGGCTGAACAGCCTTCCGTTAAGTCTGGCAAAAAATCCTCTTCGGATCTTTCCTGGATTGCAAGCATCGTCCGGCTCACTCCCAGTCCCCCGAGGGGAAAGCTACGGGGCCCCGGTGTGCCCTGCTCTCCCCTCTGCACCCCCCCTCCAATCCCCAGACAGGCGCTTTGCACAGCCGGGATTCGCAGGTGCCAGTGTCTGGCCTCCACCCCCCGGGCAGTGCCCACGGAAGCGAGCCAGGCACTTCCTTGGCAATGAGGACAGATGAGCTGGACCTGGAAAAGTTACATTTTGGACTGCAATGCTCCCAGAACTCGCTAGCCTCCCTCCCTCCCTCCCTCCCACGGCAGGGTTTGATTGTTTGTTTGGCTTCTGACAAGCCTCAGATTTGGAAACTGCAGACCAGAGAGAAGATCGAGCGGGACACAGAAGGATGGGAGCCACGGCGCCTCTCAGCAGCCGTGGCCAGCTTTGCAAGGAGACCAGCCTGGATCCTGGACGTGGGAAGGTGGCACCTGAGAGGGTGTTGGATCCCAAATGCAGCCTCTTTTTCTAAAATGGACTCCAAAACTAATTTTTAAAAGCGGAGAGCGATTGGAATAGTAAACACGCAGCAACATGGTTCCCATTAGTGAGTTTTCCATTAATAAAAAGTGCAAACGCAAGAATTCTTCCAAGATTTGGATTCTCTGCCTCTGATTTTCTCTGCTACCACTCTGATCTTTTTCTTTTCTTTTCTTTCTATCACAATTCCCCTTGTCTGTGGAAACTCACTGACGTTGGCCATGGCAGACTTTTCTGTGAGCATCTCAGCTACCTCAAAATCCTAGTTAGGATCACTGTAGGTTGGAGGAACGAGGAAGCAGCTTAATGATAACACAAAGGGTGGAGGGAAGGCTATAAGAAGCACGCCACTGTGCTGGCAAGACCAAGACCAAGACGAGCAATGCCAATGGCGAGAGCTTGCATAGTAACAAGCTTTCTGATTATACAGAACCCAACCTAATTTCATACAGGGATAAAGGAAGGGGAGAATGAATACTCTCTGAACTAACTGGGTTTCCCCTCATTTGTCTTTGGTCCAAACTGCACTGAAAAACACGATGTGCGCCTGTGTATGTTTTCAGTATGCTTGGCCCTATTAATTTAACGAGGCCCATAATGAGATAATCAAAGTCAACGACTCCTATCTGTGCCCATCTGGAATTCCAGTTGCTAAGTAATATTCAGCATCAAAAAGATTGTGTTTGGCATAAATCTTCCGCAAGGGCAGACAGAGGCTGCTCCGGCCAAGAACCCTGCCAAAATAAACCGTCACCGATTGCATGTTGAAAAATGATGATATTATAATTGCCATTAAACTAACATGAATGCTAATAAGTTTATTTTGCATACCCACACATTACAATAAAACGGTGCTTAAGGGTTCTGCTTTGAATTATAATAACCAGAAACAATGTCCCTCCCTCCCTCCCTTTGCCTTTGTGTGTATTGTGTTATTTTACTTCCCAAACCCTATCACAGGTTCTGCATCTGGTTTGGGTTTTTATTGTTAGGAGACACTTTGTGACGCCAAAGGAGAAGCAAGAAAAGAGAGAGAGAGAGAGAGAGAGAGAGAGAGAAAGTTTCTGTTTGTTTCTTCACTTCTCAATAAGAATGAAAGAGCTACATGTAAAGCTTAGTAATGTTAGGGTATTTTGGAAAGGAGCTCCTTGAAAGTCACACACTAGGAGATTCTGTAGTAGGGAAAAAAAAATTAGCTTCTTCAAAACCAGGCTAAACAGCAGTTCAGAATACACCAAACAAGCAGGTCCCCCTTAAAAGAAAGCCGTGCCCGGTGGAAAGCTACAGTGCTAAAGGTCCAGTCCCTCTTTTTTTTGCACTCCTTGGGCTTTATCCAGAGTGGCTTCCCCTGGACAGAGCAGTCCCTTTTTTTGGAGAGAGGCGGAACCTCAAAACTAACTTCAAATGAAACTCAAGCTGCTAAGTACATATTAATGCAATTAAACCCGCTCTCTCTTCTGCAGGTAAGCCCTAGGCTTGCAGAATAAGGTAGATCTACCTGTTTTTATTCACACACTTGATGCTTATGGACTTCAGCAGCCTTTTCCCGCTTTTCCACCATAAAGGTCTTCAAGGCCACGGGAAACCACTGAAGCTGTGGAAAGCGAGGGAAGGAGCCCATCTCTGCAGGAGCTTCAGCTGGGAGTATCTATGGCCAGATACATTCCTGCTGATTTCCTTAACCCTGTATGAAGAGACACAGTCTTTGTCTGGCGTCTTAAGGCTGAGGACATCGACCCACAGAGGCTTCAGATCTCACAGAACCACAGAAATGTTTGGGCTGGATGTTTTCTCTCAGAGGAGGTCCACAGCTCCAGCACCCTGGACCGGTGGCCATGCCAACCCCTGCGCAAAAGCACCTGGAGAAGGCTGGCCCAGTTTTCCTGGCAGGGCTTCCTTCTGCCTGAGAGCTACAGCCACCCACCCTGTTCCTCTGCAAATCTCCTCTCCAGTTTTCTGGTGCAGAAAAAGGATGGAGGGGCCCTCCTTATGCTCTGGTGAAGCCGCACCTCTTGCTTGAGAGGAGAACCAGCTGTGGCTTCTGGAGGTCCCCAGGACCTGCTCTTTAAGGCAAAGGCAGGGGGGCGTCTGAGCGGAGGTCCTGCGTGCACACACACACCCCATTAGACTTCTCGGACATGCAGCATCGGCTCTGAGACGATGGCAGGGAGTTTCCGATCCCCTGCTTGAACTGTGATACCAAAGGTGGAGGCTGGGATGGAATCCTCACCCCAAGGATTGGGCTCCACCACAGAGATAAGGACACACACCCCCGGGCCCCAAAAGCCCAGTGAGCGTTTCTCGGCATCTGCTGAGGTCAAGAAGGACACACGTGGAAGCCGTTTGGGCTCCTTGCAGTTCTCGGCCAGACCCAAGGAAGGCTCTCCCTCTGTTCAGCTGAGGCTTCTTCGGGCTGAGAGCGCCAACTGGCCAAGACAGCCGTGTCCAGAAGGGAAGGAAGATGGGGGCCAGAGCTCTTCCCCTCCTGACCCAAGACAGCCGTCATCGCAGATGAGCTAAGGTTGTTGTTAGGGTATGGGGTTGGGTTCCCCCCCCCTTTCAGAAGCAGCTCCATAAATGAACCAAGATTAGGGATCCCAGCTCCCCACCCCCACCCCACCCCTGTCTTAGTGGGATAATCATAACCAAAAACGGGGGGGGGAGGGGAGAGAGCTGCAAGAGGCGACCTTCGGCAGCCCATCCGTATCTTCTCCCAGGAGCCAGCAGTAAACAAGCATGAGTCACCCGGGGAGGAGAAACGTGCAGCTGTTCTGTCCCAGACAGGAACCCCCTGACCCTCGGACTGGCCTCGCCCGCCGGGCCTCCTGAACCGGCCCCACATTCGGACAAGCGGGCTCTGGGCAACTGCCCTTCTTTGCTGTGGAAGGGACTTTCCACTGGGTGGGGGTCGTGGTGCTCCCTTAGGATCTGCTTTCACATTTGGTTTACATTGTTTTAACCCTAAAACCAGACAAAACAGGCCTGCCCAGATGTTTGAAGGGAAGAGTCATTCCCAGTCATTCTTCAAGCCAC